ATCAAATTACAATCGTTAGCAGTTTCATTGATAATTTAATTTGGTGAGATTTTTGATTGTGACGATTGAAGACGATTGGAAACTTCTTTCTGTCGGATTAACTTTTTGTGTGATTTTCATGGTTTTCTTTTCCCTGCAACGCAACTGCGAGATAGTTCCCTCAAAAGTTTCTCACAGACTAGTTTGCCGCAATGCTTCATCCAAAGCCGCGGTGACTCAGGGGATAGAGCGCTCGCCTCTAAATGACGTAAACCAGGTTCGAATCCAAACGATGGCTGATTGATACGCATTCTACACCCGGCTCGCAGAAACCACAGTGGTGAGTGTATATATTCTTAGTGGTATACAAATCATAGGTTAGAATCCCCTTACCATCAGGCTAACCATGGGAGGTTTTCGTGGTTTTTCTCTTCATGTAACGCAAATGCGGGTTTGTCCCATCGAAAAGTCCTCAACGAAGGCAAATTTTTCCCAATACTTGGATCCAGGAGTCTCTGGATTGTCTTCTGGATTGGGCTCAAAACTTTAAGGTTACAGGGCTACCAAGTTAAACTTTAATAATCGTAAACTGAAAATTGGGTTGCCTGTTCAACACCGGTTATAAAATAAAAAAAAATAAAAAACAGTTTTTGACTTTATACTTTCTTTTTATCCATTAGCAAAATGGGTCTTGTTTTTGGTTTGATGGCGTGCGCTTCTTATTTGGACGTCATCACACTTTTCAACTGTGTTCAAGAGTAACAGTAAGCAGTGCGCATGCGTTGCTATGGCGACCACTGCTGCTTGATAATTTTTTTAGAATTCTTTTTTCACTTTTAATTTTGTCATGCATTAAGTTGATGATCGTATTTTTTATAATTTTTTAATGCGTGGTTGTTTGTCAGGCAAATATGACAAGCTGTATTTTTGCTTGCTAAAATTTTAATTGATTTCTGGCCCCTACATTCAAAATTTATCACCATTCAATAGAGAAATCCCCTCTCTTTTTTCAACAGCAGCCTTAGTCTTGTAAAATGATATTTTTTAGTATATTTTAACCAATTTTAATTTCAAAATATTAATATAATACTAATTGCATCAAGTTTTGACACCTGAGAGTCATTTTTTTTACAATAAAGTAAGAAGAAGTATTTAGAAAACATCATTAAATTTTCAACTTTTTGAAAACGGAAAAAAAATTTAATTTCTATGTTATAAATATCAAAAGAGGCAAAATAGCAATAAATGTAGCTTTTACAAAAAATATGTTATTTTTACACAAAACAGTAATTGAACTTTTACAAGAGCTAAACTAGCAGTCTTATAATGCATGTTTGATTGTTTCATATTTTCCTGAAAAGTCAAGGAAAGTGCACTTTTATGGATTCAAATATTTAAAAGGAATTTTCAAAAATCGATACGCGCGAAGTAAAACTTCGAATCGCCGGTTCTTTTCTGAAAATCCAACGCAGAAAGTACAACTGACACAAAATTTTGGCGACAGCCGAAAAAGTGCACTTCGTTTTGCTGTATGGACTTATGTAAATCCACTTACTGGAACATTCTCCCATACTGCAGTAGTCTTGTCAATACTTGTTTGCTTATGCAAAACTGATATATCCTTTCGTTTAAACTATCCGACACCTCTTTTCTAGATTCAATAACGCATTGTAGGTTCTAGCTGAGGCTTTTCAATCATCGTAAATATTGCTTTTTCATAAAGACTATCTTCAATGCAAACAATATTTTTTTTTCTATTGGCGAACATGGGCTCTTATGTAGTTACAATTCCTCGCCAACGAAGTAAAGACCTAACATAAGTAAAGATGGTGAGAAAAATGCTTTATTTCTTGTACTGTCGAAGTTGGAAAGGGATATTTTGCTCAATATGAGATATCTGTTTTGTTTATTTTCCCTTGTTTATTTATTTTTTTTTTCTTATTTCTCTTTCTAAAAAGAAAGTGTTTTTTTTTCTTTATTTGATAGGAGTTTAAAAAAGAAATTGGAAAAAAAATTTCATATTTTGTTTGCAATGAGGGAAGAAAAAAAATTTCAGTAAACTTAAGGCTTTTAGTCTCAAATTCTTGAAAAATAAATTCGTCAATATAGAATAAATATTAAAGAGAAAAGCTTATCGATGGGTTAGGAGCAATGTAGTGTTAAGAAATACTTTTTTATAGGCGAAATTTTTGCAATATTTTTAGTCTTTATTCCAGTTAATTCTTTTGTAGTTTCTGAAATTTCAGCTAGAAGAGAGCATAATATCCAGAAATATTTTATTGATTACATGGTGGTGTTATCGTAATTGTTTCTGCACAAGTGTTCGAATTCTTCTGAATTGAGCAAGAATTAATAAGAACACTTTTATTTATATCACATACAAGCATATAATATTTTTTATCCTTAAGAATCTGTCTGCGGGATTTTTTTTTATCTAAGATAATCTGTTCAAGTGAGATTTTGAAACCGAAAGAGTCCGTTTACATTACTTTCCATATACACTTTATTTTGTCTACATGATACGCTTTTCTTGTTAGGTTCTGTGTACGCAAGATTCTAAAATAGAGAAATTCTGTCTAAGGGAATATCTGCCGAGTGATTCTGACCACGTGAGATTCTGCCCAAGTGAGATTCTCTCCCTGTAGGATTCTTTTTAGGTGAATATTTATTCCCAAGGGCTTCTGTCCAACCAAGCTTCTTTAATTGAGAAATTCTGTTTACACCAAAATTTAAATTTACGAGGCTTCGTCCATGTCACATTGTGGAACTTAGGTAATCAGTCAACGTAATTTCTATGGAAACATTTTGTCTCATCGATATTTTGCCCAAATTCACTAATCTACATAAGTATCATCCATTCTCTTCCCCCCCCCCACATTTATTCTACATTGCCTTTAAATCAAAAAGAAGTGAGATAACGTTTTTTTTTGTTTTGTTTACTAATAGAGCAATAACAGTTAGCTCTCTTGTAAGGTAAGTCAACGTAGAAGACTACAAAATTATTTCAATACTTGATTATTTTACGAACATGCTTTTAAAATCGTGACACATTTCTATAACTTTGCATAATTAAAATAATATTTACTCAATAAGCAAATTGATAATTTTTTACACTTCCAATATCTCATATCAATTGTTTTTGTTTACAAAAAATTGAAAAAAAAAATAAATAGAGAAAACTTACTATTAAATTATTTGGATAATCTTAAAAGTAGTATAGCACATAAAACCATGCAACAATACCATATTTGCATTTGGGAAAAAACATCATTCTTTTCAAGTCTGCGATTATCACTGATTAAGATAAACTATCTATCATCGCAACGGTATTTAATCAATACATATGCTGATGCATCACTGATAACTTTTCTTCATCCTTGCAATCGTATCGAACGACGAAAATAAAAAAAAAAGAAGAAAAAAAAACGGTGATTCGTCCGGAGTTCATAAACTGAATTACCGTGTTTCATTACCAAAAGTCACACGGAAAACCCCTTTCCCGGGCGACGGCGAAATTTATGGGGTGGTCTAAGTGTCCCTCGGACTGATTAGGCCTTCATTAAGTATAAAACTCTTTTTCCCAGAGAACAAAAGGGGCGGCTGATTCAGTCGATTTTTCTGCTGGCTGGTCATCGGCTCCAGAATGGGACTTCTTAATCTCATTTCGAAAGGGTTGGGTCGCAAAATGACCCTTCAGATTCACCCCGACTTCCGGAGACTTTCATTTCAACGAAGATGCTGGATTTGCTAGATGGACATTTGATGAGGGCTGTGGACATTCTTTAAAATGAGTATCCAATTCTTTTGCTGTTGATCTCCCTCTAAAGGCGCCTCTGTATAAATCATCCTTCATACGTAACCATGACAAAAATTTAGTTCAGTAATTATTCTGTTATTATGAATATCTCTCGGATATATGAGCATCAATTTCTTTTTTCGGGGACATAGGTTTGCGAGGAATGTTAGTAATTATTTTTCAAAGCTTTTCCGTGATCTATTCAGGCTATACCTTATGGAATTATTGATAATTGTTCCTCAAATTGTTTTAATGATCATATTCTTAAAATTTATAATACGTGCTTATTCATAACTGAAAGTTATTCATGATCATCACATGCATTTACAGACTACAGGCTGATTCTCTGACCGGACGATAAACAATTGACGTCAGACTTCTTGTGTGACGTCATTTGGAACGCCATCTGTCAGTTAGCTAAATAATAGGCATGTTATGACGAAGATCGGTTATCAAGGATTAAGTAAAAATGTTAAACATCATTAGGTCAGTTTAAGAAAAATTCAATGCGACGATTTAAATCATTTTATTGTCATTATTCATGTTTTGTTTTATTAATCAGCAATACATCAACTGAACACTTATATTCGGAAAATGATTTGAAAAGAACAATTTAGTAAATAGACTTATACAGTAATTTTCGAAAAACATTTTAATCATTTTTGGAATCCTAAAATGTATTTTTTCTACGGTAATATAACCTGCTTTAAAAATTATTTAAAAAGTTGCAATATTTCATAACCAATCTTAATTTAAGAGTTTTAGAGAAAAAAAAAACATGCTATCTGAAAGTCTAGTAAAATTAAAAGAGCAGCCATTAGAAACATAAAGCATAAGGAAAATGTTTGCCAAACTTTTTTCTTCATTGAAAAACAGCTATATTTGAAAACTGAGCTAATTCATTAATGTTCTGTTCTTTTGGAGATAACGCATTCCTAGGCAAAGAAAATCTGAATGTTTTCAAATTATGTTCAAAACTATTGAACATTCATATTGTTTGAACATTTATCTTTCAAAACTATTGAACATTCATGACTAGTGATAATTTATAATAGTGATCTGATGATGCCTAATAGTGATCTGATAATTCATAATAGTGACCTGATAATTCATAACTAGTGGTAATTCGTAATAGTAATCTGATAATTCATATCTTGTGATCATTTATGGCTAGTGATAAAGACATTTAAGTAATAATTCATAATTTCGAAATGTTTTTGCCTACCTTTCATGGCTTTAGAATTGGAGGGAGAATCTCTGTTCCATGGAGGATCTCCGTGAGCTGTGAAATCTCTGAGCTTGAGGTAAGAGATGCTGAGCCTAATGATCGATGCTTTGTCCAGCTGGGTAGTTATGGCAGCGGGCAGGGGTAGCAGCTTGGCTAATTCATAGAACTCATAGTTCTCTTTGCCACGCCGACTCCTGGCCGCGTCCCTTGACTTTTCCTTTCGCATCTCCAAAATGCTACAAAACATAAACAACGCTTAGAAAACACGAATTGTTTTTTTTTTTAAACATATGCATCACAGAGTATTGAATAAGATTTTGAGCAACAGCAAAAAAACTATGCATTCGATTCAGCAAAGTCAGTTCAGCAATATTTGAACCATATTTCGTTATTTTCGACATGGCTCAGGGGATAAGGCGTTCTCATTCCAATGAGGTGAACCAGATTCGAATCCCTGCAATGGCTGGTTGATAAGAATCTGCATCCGGCTTGCACCGACCACAGTGCTGACGTAAAAATATCTTCAATAGTAGACGGATCATGGGTTAAAGTCCCCTTGCCACCAGGTTAACCATGGGAGGCTTTTATGGTAATAATTTAGATTAAAAAAGTACAAGTTGTTAAGTACAAGACTTTAAGTATAACTCGTACAAGACTTGTACAAGTTGTACCATTGAACCTCCTGTGGCGGAATGAAAAATCTTAAGAATTCATTGGATAGATAATCAACTTTTGAATGCATGTTTTATATTTCCTATGTTGGTGTGATTCAAAAACATGTGTGTTTAAGAAGAGCTAGAAAACGGACAAGTGGACTGCGGTTTAAAGCTTAGAACCAACAAACATTTAGTTCTTGAAAATAAAGAATGGGTGATAGGGTTAAAAACAGATGAGCTATAGAAGCACCTTTCAGAGTTTTTAAACAAAGTAATAAGAAAGTGCGGAAAATTGCATTGAATTGATTAACTAGTTTACACGAAATCTTTTAAATTAAACGTAAAGTCGAGCTCAAAGGTATGCAATCATGAAAAAGCTAGAGCGAAAGGCTTTGATGACAGATAGTGGCAGCAGTCTTTTAAACATAAGACAAATTGCTGCGCAGCTGTCATGAGTCGTTGCTTTTCACTACTTCTAAGCATTTTATCAACAGCAGCAATGGATTCAAAGGAGACCATGAAATTTGTTAGCCCTATAACTTGTCAGATACCATATTAACATATAGTGTCCCCCCCAAAATGGACTACCCTGAATAACTAATGATTTAATGATCGGATCTACACGTTCTAGGACTCAATCTTAATGGCTTGAAAGGTGGGGGGTGACATCAAATATACTAATTAGTTAGTGTAGACGATATTTTAAGTTACGAAATCAAACACAAAAGCGTAATTTATCTAAATAAAGGCACCTTTTTTTTGTTGACGGATTTGGATTTTTCACCATCCAGAATATAAGAGATAGCTGCAATCTGAGAAATCTGGTCCCAATTGTTTCGTCTGGAGAACTGTCCAAAATTAGGATCTCTTAATGTTAATTTTGCTTTTTACATATCTCACCATATCGAGAATTTATTAAGTGATTTGAAATATTTTTGAACAAAATAATCAAATTCGCTTATCCAAAGATAATTCCACAAAAATTACTTTTAATAAATATTTATTGTTTTTTATTATTTTATTTAATAATAGTCGAACAAAAATGTGAGTTGTGAGGTATACTTTATTTTAAAAAATTTAATTTTTCGTGGGAAAGTACGAAATTTGAGCAAAATCGGTCAAACAGCTTCTGAGAAAACGAATTTTTAGAAAATCGTGTTTTTAAAATTCCATTTCTTAGCAACCACATGCATGAGGAACGATAACAATATTTATCCTAAAGAATCTCATATCTTTATTAAGCTGACCATCCCTCACTAAATATCAATATATTACTATTGCGCGTTATCTTTAACTGACTTTACATTCACTTTAAATGCTTTCATTCACTCTAAGCTATAGACAATCCGGAGTGCACTTCTTTAGCCTTAATTTATGAAAAGTGGAGCTAGCTTATTTTTGATGTTACCACACTCGCAAACTTTTTCTAGGGTGGACCTTATACCAAAATTTCTGGTATTTTGCTGGGTTCAGAAAGAACTGAAAATCAAACTGAAAGATTTAAAAGAACTGAACAATACACTAATGCAAAATTTAGATGGTTTTCTTTTTTTAATCTGTGTGCTTAAGCTGTTTGTATCATTACCTCTGGTCTATCTGCGTCGTCTCTTAATTGTCATGCGACGTATCACCACTATAATACACTAATATAAAATTTAGATGATTTTCTTTATTTAATCTATGTGCTTAAGCTGTCTGTATCATTACTTCTGGTCCGTCTGTGTCATTTCTTAATTGTCATGCGACGTATCACCACTATAATACGCTAATATAAAATTTAGATGATTTTCTTTATTTAATCTGTGTGCTTAAGCTGTCTGTATCATTACCTCTGGTCCGTCTGTGTCATTTCTTAATTGTCATGCGACGTATCACCACTTTAATACACTAATATAAAATTTAGATGATTTTCTTTATTTAATCTGTGTGCTTAAGCTGTCTGTATCATTATCTCTGATCTGTCTGTGTCGTCTCTTAATTGTCATGCGACGTATCACCACTATAATACACTAATATTAAATTTAGATGATTTTCTTTATTTAATCTATGTGCTTAAGCTGTCTGTATCATTACCTCTTATCTGTCTGTGTCGTCTCTCAATTGTCATGCGATTTATCACCACTATAATACACTAATATCAAATTTAGATGATTTTCTTTATTTAATCTGTGTGCTTAAGCTGTCTGTATCATTACCTCTGGTCTGTTTGTGTCATTTCTTAATTGTCATGCGACGTATCACAACTATAATAAACTAATATAAAATTTAAATGATTTTCTTTATTTAATCTGTGTGCTTAAGCTGTCTGTATCATTACCTCTGGTCTGTCTGTGTCGTCTCTTAATTGTCACGCGACGTATCACCACTATAATACATTAATATAAAATTTAGATGATTTTCCTTATTTAATCTGTGTCCTTAAGCTGTCTGTATCATTACCTCTGGTCTGTCTGTGTCATCTCTTAATTGCCATGCGACGTATCACCGCTCAACACAATTTTGTGTCGGGGCTTCCTTTTATTATTTCCTCACCAGACTCAAAATGGTCAGCATTTCACCCAATTCAAGTCCCCAGCGTGCATATAGGTGTTGTATTCACTAAGCCGAATTGCCATTGCCTTCTCCCCTGCCAACCATTCGATACCCGACCCCCTTCAAACGAAATTTTCTGGGGGTGCATTCGAAATAGGGTGGCTGGGTGGATGTGTCACTCCCTTAGGAACACCGGTTCCTCTCCCTTTTGTGATTTTGGGTGAAGACAAGTCAAAGACAGTCGGTCGACAAGTGAGAGACTTCAACAAACTCTGCGTGATGTCATCCACGCTCGAATTTTTCGACTTCGTGTCAACTTTTCTCTCTATTCTATGGTCAGTTCTAGATTTGAAATATAAAATAAAAAATGAAAAAGTACGATTGAAGGAATGAAAAATGAGTTTTTGAGTTTGTTTGGTTTAAATGGAATTCCAAACACACATTTGTCATGGTTGTAATATTTTTTTTTCGGCAGAAGAGGAAGGAGATCAACTCGATTGAATGTTGTTCACGTATTTTCACTTGAGTAAAAAATGTGAAGCATTCAAACTTTGTCTATGAAATAAGTTAAATCTTCCACTACTGTTCTATGCATCTCAAAAATACGAAATTTTGCACGGCCTTAACTATTAAGTTGAATTCTGTATAATTTAAACAGAATAGAATATTAAATTAAGGTAGTTCATTACAACGCCTGTCGTTATCCAAAGTAACACTTTTCATCCAATGATATTCTATTTTCATAATTTTCGTCCGAGTTGGCAACAGTTATTTATGGTTGTTAGGTTAAGTTTTCTTTTTATCTCGCTATCCATTTCCATTTATGCTATTTGGTTCCAGCACTTCAAAAAGATCATAATACCCCTCTCCCAGTGACGTCAGCACTAACTGATCATTTTTAAGCAAAATGGCGTCTTAAAGTTAAGCTAAGTATCTCCATATAAGTCAGAATGTTAATTAACTTGAAGTTGATTAAAATACAGTGCCGAATCGCACATCGAATTTTTTGAAATATAATTCCTTCTCATTTATGTCTTATACAAAACTTATTATTTGTTTATGCATTTTATTGTAACCGTGATATATTTTTGTTTTGTGTACCTGGCAACTTCGGAACATAATTAGTTTATGTTCTACATGACTTCATGCCTGTCTTTGTGTTAAGTAAGAAATATATTGCGAAAGAATTGAAATATTTATGAAATAATCTTTATGTAAGAATATAGATTGTGTCACTTAAGACTATTGATACTTGACGGGCTAGGCTTACTCGAAATAGAATGGAAAGAATAGTTGCTAACGTAAACAAATGCCACATTTCATCAACTAATCAGGATAGAGGTCACACTACGTCACTTGCGGTTATCCCATTATGAAAATGGCGCAAGATTCTTATGAAGAAAGCAGCAGTTTCATGAGGGGAAAAAAAAGAAAAGCGTCATGATGCAATTTTGTAATATTTGAAAAACTTCTCTAATGATATACTATTGAGACTGATAAAAATATACAAAATAATAAAAATATTCACTAATTTTAATGTTTTTCATCAAGGTGGATACATCCGGTTCCTTTTAAAATATTTCATGATTTTAAAAATTATGCTATTTGTCCACTTTAAAGTTCAGAATATCTATTCTGCAATATGTAGGATAAGCATAAATCTTTAAGTTTTAGGTACCCAATTTATGGCTTTATTGTTTTTTTGGCAAAAAAACTCACTCCCTTAAGTCTTTTATCATCAGATATTCAATCACATCCAAACAAGCTTACAAAAAAGAAAAACATTTGTATTATCCACTTTTCTCAAAGTGGTCCAAGAAGTCAGGTAGTTTTTTCAACATGCATGTAAGGTAAACCAACCAGTGAAGGAACATTTCATATATATTGATTAAAAATAAGAATTTGAAAGTTTTTCTTTAGATTGATTGGTAACAATAGCTTACTGCCAAACAATAGGAAGTCATCTAGCAATGTTTTGGATTACCTGGTCAAATAGACTTCTCTGGAAAAATTTTTGAATTTGTTATTATCTCTGCAACACCTTGTTT